GTGGCGTGTTCCATACATGTCCCCACCATGTCCCCGCCGTTTCCTCATGTCGGTTATGACTATGACACTTATTTTGAAGTGTTGGTACTTCATAATATCCCATCTAGACTTTTTTGGATTTCGTAAAGAATTTGGAATCTTTTAGCTCTATAGGCGCATAGAGTTTTGTTCTATAAATTGTGTGTACTTGAGTTGTTTCACCTTTTCATGATATTCTATTTACTGATATTCCCTCCCTTTCTTTCCGTGCATGGAAAAAAAAGAGGTTAAAACGAAAATAAAGAAAGAAAAAAAGAATTCCACGGGACGTAGGAAAAATGGACTTATCTATATTGCTATATTATGCATAATGCAAATAGTCATGGTATCCAAGGCAGCTACATGGTGTCTTGTGACTGATGGTTTTCTCAATGTGTAGATCAGGAAAATGACCAATCCTCTTCTGGTAGTGATACTTCGAGCATTGCTTGGACAAAGCCAGTGGACAGATATTTCATTGACCTCATGTTAGGACAGGTGTTTGAAGGGAATAGAGTTGAAAAAATCTTCAATAAGCAAGCTTGGGTCTGCATGATCACATCATTCAATGAGAAATTTGGACTTCAGTTTGACAAATGTGTACTGGAAAATCGGTACCTAAGCTTGATGAAACAGTATGACGACATCAGCACTCTTCTCAACAAGAATGGCTTTGCATGGGACGAAAAAGAACAAAAAGTCACAGCTGATGATGATTATTGGGAAGCTTATATTGAGGTGAATTTCTTTCATGTGTATGACTGAATTGGCAAATCAAAGACTGTTTGCTTGTTTTATTGTTCATGTAATTATTAATGACTTCAACTCAAAATAACATGGACCTTAGTTGCAGGAAGCGGGGTTGGGAGAGTTAGGGAATATAGAAGTTTCTAAGGTTGGAAGTGCCTATGGGAGCATATATATTTTATATATTGAATAGATTTTAACATTTTTTTTTCTTCCCTACATAGTTGTGATATGTGTTAAAATATGAATAAACATTAAAGATGGATGTCAACTACAAATTATCTTTGTTAAGTATAAGTAAATATCTAAATAGGAACTACTAAGCTTGAGTTGTTTTTCTTTTATTTATGTGAGATTTATATATTTGAGAGGTTTTATCTTAGCTCGGATTGAGTCTCTTTCTTGATGGGATCGAGTTTCTTATGAGTTTTTTACTTGGGGAGCGCGGAATCACGTTTCTAAGCAAGAAATGTAGCCCAAGTACAACTTTCCTGCTACTATGACATGGACCTTGTATATTATTTGAAAAGTACCTTTACTTTTGATGAATTGCTGAGATATTGCACCATCTAACAAAGAGTGATTTACTGATGCCAGTTCTGTGAAGTAGGGTATTAGAAACACCCATTCCAATTGCTTGGACTTTACATTGCTAATTGATAGTTAATTTGTCACTATGATGATTTGCAGGAACATCCCGACGCTGTAGCATACAAAGATATAATATTGGAGAATTACTGTGATTTGAGCATTATTTTTGGAGATGAGATCCATGATGGAACGTCAAGTTATCTGTGCCCAGAAATGAATATTGATGATAATGCCCTGAAAATGGGGATGGATGGCATATTTGGAGCTCTAAAGTCCCCAGCTATTGATAATGAAGTGTCTAATGGGAGAAAAAGACGCCAATCCACCACACCGTTAAGTTCAACACGTGGGAGAAAAATCAAGAAAACCAGGGAGGAGTTGCAAGAAGCAGGTAGAAGTAATACAGTGGACAGGAACTATAGCTCAATAGAAAGCATTGTTGATGCACTTCAAGCCATACCTGACATGCATGATGAACTCTTCTTGGATGCTTGTGATCTTTTGGAAGATGAGAAAAAAGCGAAGGCGTTTGTGAAGATGGACATCCTGCATCGAAAGAAGTGGTTGTTGCAAAATCTCCATGCATAATTTAGGTAACTGTTTTTCGTTATCGAAAGTGTAGATATGATTATGATGTGTATATGAAGTGTAAGACAGAATGTACAAGAGGAAACAGTTTTCAATCAGCTTCCGATTCCTTTCTATCCTCTTCGATATCCACAGTTGCACTTGATGTTCATCTTGGTAGAAGAAGAATGAGTTCACCTTCTTGTTGATTCCCTACTTTTTCTTCGCGCGTGTAGTTTGTACAAGTGCACGTTTTTGTCAATCGGCAATGGGCTACACAACAATATGTGATAACTCTCCCAATCTGGATGAAGGAACTAGAATCCGGAAGAGGGATCTGTCTCAAATTCATCTGATCTTCTATTTCAAAACATTCATAACCATGAAATTATTTTTTGATATTCTTGTATTTTGAAATTTTTATTTGATTTAACGGTTATGAGTATTTTGAAAGAGAAATTTTGGAACAAAACCATTAGTATACTAAGGGACTTTTTATTAGTCAGATTCGTAGTCATGAAATTATGTTTTGATAGTTTTGTGCTTCAAAATTTTTCTATGATTTAACAGTTAAGAATATTTTCAGACAGGAGAGATTTTGGGACAAAACTGTTAGTCTACTAAGGTTTTGTTTGAGGAGTTAGATATTTTAATTGGTTATTTAATTTTTTAGTTATTTTAGCTTGACTAAAATAGTTGTGTTTGGGAAGTTGGGTTTTTTTTTTTTTTAGTTGATTTGATAATTGTGAGAGAAAAAGTAAAGTGATTATAGATTGAATGTAATATTTTTTTTATTGTTTATTTTAGCTTATTTTGTCTTTTGATAGACTATTTTAATCCAACCTTTTTCTCAAGCACCCCCTTATGAGACTTTATTAGTTAGACTAATAACACCATCAATTTTCATAATTTTCTATAATAATGAATTAAAATTCTGAAAATATGTATATATATGTATATGTTGTTAGTAGTATGGTTTTAGTGAATTCCAAGTTCATTTGTTACAAGACCAGTGCAAATGAGTGCTCATTGTTGGGGCATTTTCCTAAATAAGCTAAATTATTAATTCAATTCTCAAACTAAAGCCTAGTTTTGAAAGAATTTTCAAAATAGACTAAAACGTGGTTCACAACCACGCTTTCAACGTCTGTGTGCCTGTCTAGCGTGAAAATTGGGAAGTCTTAAAAGCGTGGTTACAAAATGCGATTTTAATTAAGAAAGCGCAGTTACGAAAGGCACTTTTAATTAAAAAAAATTCTTTTGAAATCGCAGTTTTGAACCACGCTTTTGACTTAAATTTTTTTTTTCTGAAAGCGCGGTTGTCAACCATGCTTTTAACCAAAAAAAAAATTTCTTTTGAAATCGTGGTTACGAACCACGCTTTTAGCTTAAATTTTTTTTTTCTGAAAACGTGGTTATGAACCACGCTTTTTTAGATAGATACACCAATTATTTAGTTTCAGTTTAACTGAACTCTGAAGAAGAAATTTTTTTTTTTTGGTTTTTTTTTTTTTTTTTTTGTTTTTGTTGTCATTGTTTTGGTGATAATGTATTTCAGAATAATTTTTTGGGTTAAAATTGTTTTACTAAAACCGTTCTCATGTTAATTGTTTTTTCTTTTCTTTTGTCTTTATTTTGGGTTAGAAGGTGTAATTCAGCAATTTTTTTTTGGCTTTACTAAAGTAAATTTATTTTGTTTTTTCTTGTGTTTGTTTTGGGTTAAAAGGTGATAATGTAATTCATAAATTTTTTGAGCTTTAGTAAAGCTGTTTTGATGTAAATTTTTTTTAATTTTATTTTCTCTTTGTTTTGGGTTAGAAGGTGTTATTCAGTAATTTGTTTGGACTTTAATAAAGCCGTTTTCATTTAAATATATATATTTTTTCTTTTGTCTTTGTTTTGGGTTAGAAGGTGATAATGTAATTCAGAAATTTCTTTTCGCTTTACTAAAGTCGTTTTCATGTAAAGTTTTTTATTTTTTATTTTTTTCTCTTGTCTTTATTTTGGGTTAGAAGGTGTTATTCATCATTTGTTTTGGCTTTACTAAAGCCGTTTTCATTTAAATATATTTTTTTTTTATGTTGTCTTTGTTTTGGGTTAGAAAGTGATAATGTAATTCAAAAAACCTTGAGGAAAAAACACATAAGTCTCCCACAAATACATAGGTAATACAAACATAAGTCTCCGACAACAATACATTCTGGACACCATGAACTGAACATACAATACATACATAAACATAACAGTTAGACAGACAAATATTAGCCAGACAATCTAACAAACTCATTACGGAAACACTTAGTCTAACACAAACATTACATATTAATGCATGACCTAATATTGCCGAACTGTAGACATTAACACCTAATTCGCGCTTAAATCGGTAGGTGGCTCAGAGTCTGAATAATCCGAAAGCTCAGCGTCAGAGACAAGCTCAGGATCCTCCATGATACCCTTGATAGCCGCAACATTTGGTTCTGTTCTGTTCTTCTGGGCATCCTTCTTAACTATGTATAGCTGCATATCGCGGGCTAACCTACAGCGCATTTGAGAAATCTCACGTTGTAGTCTTTCACATAGTTGATCAACATTATCAGGATCTTCCTTTTGGATCTCAACAGAACGTGCTTTTGGCACCTTCAGTCGATTTTCCTGACATAATCTTTCCATTTGCACTCGCTCTATAAATAGTGCGGGCCACTTCAGAAGTTTAGCGTCTGCTAAACCATATCCTGTTTGATTATCTGATGGATCTATACATGAACCTCCTTGAACTGGATAATACTTGGGCATCAAAAAATGTCGCTTCCCAAACCTATCACGATAACCACAAGCATAATCTAAAATAGGTATTCCCACTCCCTCCCATGAATCGTCTTCAGCATCGCCACGTCCCTTTCCCCCTCCTCGTCGTGAACTATCACCCCTTTGCAAGTTCCTACCACCTCTACGATTTCCACTCCCTTCCATGAACCATGTAGCCATGCTAATTTTTTAAAACAAATGAATGATAATTTCGTAGGGCAAAATGAGTTGTAAGGTTGTGTTTTCACCTTTAGTCATTTATATAGTTGGTTATGAACAGCTTTAGAAAGATGTCCCTGCATGACAATCCCACATATACAAACAAGGTATGAGTTGTCACTAGAATGAAAAAACAGAGAAAAGCAATACTGTGTACCAAGTCACGTGACTTGACAATCCATCTGCATATACCGACAAAGTAAGGGCATGCTCATTGTAAGGTAAATAAGTTAATTCACTGTTGGCATGTGACTTTCTGAATTGAGAATCACTGTAATAAAAAAATCGAGAAAAAAATCGATAAAACCAAAGCATGTGCACCAAGTCACATGACTTGACAATCCATCTACATATACCGACAAAATAAGGGCATGCTCACTATAAGGTAAATCAGTGAATTCACTGTTGCCATGTGACTTTATGAATTGAGAATCCCACATATATCAATAAGAGATGAGTTGTCAATGTAATAAAAAAATCGAGCAAAAAATCGAGAAAACCAAAACCTGTGCACCAAGTTACATGATTTGACAATCCATCTGCATATACTGACAAAATAAGGGCATGCTCACTGTAAGGTAAATCAGTGAATTCACCATGTGACTTTATGAATTGAGAATCCCACATATATCAAATTGGTGTTGAGTTGTCACTGTAATAAAACAATCGAGCAAAAAATTGAGAAAACCAAAGCCTATGAACCAAGTCACATGACTTGACAATCCATCTGCATATACCGAGAAAATAAGGACATGCTCACTGTAACGTAAATCAGTGAATTCACTGTTGCCATGTGACTTTCTGAATTGAGAATCCCACATATATTAATAAGAAATGAGTTGTCACTGTAACAAAAAAATCGAGCAAAAAATCGAGAAAACCAAAGCATGTGCACCAAGTCACATGACTTGACAATCCATCTGCATATACGGACAAAATAATGGCATGCTTACTGTAAGGTAAATCAGTGAATTCACTGTTGCCATGTGACTTTCTGAATTGAGACTGTAATAAAAAATAAAGCTTATGTAGGCAATGTTGTGTTTCACTTAGCTATGCATCATTCGTTGTTACGACCAAACGTTCGTGTATTTCATTGAAAAGTATGACTATTTGAATTATTTGTTGTCATTTGGGTACAAGTCAAGTTTCTTACATTTTTGGCCTTGCGTTGATTGCTATTCTATACTAAGAGAATCGTCAATTTCTTGAAAAAGGCGCAAAAAACAATCTGTTTGTATATAGTTAATTGTAATTTGACAAGCAAATCAAGTAAAACCGATTGGGTTTTAAATTTAGTTTCCCAACTGGACCAACCACTTGGCTTTGAGTTTATTTGTCTAGCACCCCAAGTTTAGTTATCTGTCAACCCCTTATTCCTCACAAGAGTCATCATTTTGACTGGACTTCCAAGAATTGGAAGGCGACTCTTTCTTCTTTTCTAATGGAGATTGAAATTCTTTACGTACAAGATCCCTATTTCACGAGCCCCAGTTATGGGAAGCTTTTCATCGAGCTACCTGTTTTGTTTTATGTGTTGTTGAAGGCAGTAGTTCGTTTGTATGAACTTTATTAGTCCTCCAACTGGACCAACCACTTGGCTTTGAGCTTGTTTGTCCAACACCCCAAGTTTAGTTATCTGTCAGCCCCCCATTCCTTACAAGAGTCATCATTTTGACTGGACTTCCAGGAATTGGAAGGCAATTCTTTCTTTTTTTTTGATGGAGATTGAAATTCTTTACGTACAGGATCCCTATTTCACGAGCCCCAGTTAAGGGAAGCTTTTCACCGAGCTACCTGTTTTGTTTTATGTGTTGTTGAAGGCGGTAGTTCGTTTATATGAACTTTATTAGTCCCCCAACTGGACCAACCACATGGCTTTGAGCTTGTTTGTCCAGCCCTCCAAGTTTAGTTATCTGTCAACCCCCCATTCCTTACAAGAGTCATCATTTTGACTGGAATTCCAGGAATTGGAAGGCAACTCTTTCTTCTTTTTTGATGGAGATTGAAATTCTTTACGTACAGGATCCCTATTTCACGAGCCCCAGTTAAGGAAAGCTTTTCACCGAGCTAGCTGTTTTGTTTTATGTGTTGTTGAAGGCAGTAGTTCGTTTGTATGAACTTTATTAGTCCCCCAACTGGACCAACCACTTGGCTTTGAGCTTGTTTGTCCAGCCCCCTAAGTTTAGTTATCTGTCAACCCCCCATTCCTTACAAGAGTCATCATTTTGATTGGACTTCCAAGAATTGGAAGGCGACTCTTTCTTCTTTCCTGATGGAGATTGACATTCTTTACGTACAGGATCCCTATTTCATGAGCCCTAGTTAAGGGAAGCTTTTCACCGAGCTACCTGTTCTGTTTTATGTGT